GGGGCCGCCGCGTGCCCGGCCCCGCTCGCCCGTGCCCGCCCGCCATGCCCGGCTTCGACTACAAGTTCCTGGAGAAGCCCAAGCGGCGCCTGCTCTGCCCGCTGTGCGGGAAGCCCATGCGCGAGCCCGTGCAAGTCTCCACCTGCGGCCACCGCTTCTGCGACACCTGCCTGCAGGAGTTCCTCAGGTGCGTGCCCGGGGACGGGGCCGGAGCGGGGCGGGGTGGGGGCGCCGCTCGGGAGGGGCCCGGGCCCGAGGCACGCCGCGCCTTTGTCTGCGCCGCGGCCCGTGACCTCAGGGGCGCCCACCGTGACGTCACGGGGAACAGTGACGTCAGGCTGCGAGGGAGGACTCCGCGGACTAGTCCATTGGGGCCCGCTGGCGCCCGCGCCGGCTCGAAAATCCAGTTTCTTGTCTCCGGGTGGAGGTGGGAGAAGACGCCCTTCCTGACCTGTGGCCGCCCTTCCCCCTCACCTGAGAGCCGGGGCCGCCGCGTGCTTGGACTTTGAGTCTGGCGGGGAGACGCGGGCCAGCCCCCTCCCGGCGCGGTGGCAGGGTTTGCGTCCGTGAGACGTCTTGCTGCCGCCAACACTGCGCGGACGGCAGCTATTGTCTTCCCACTTCACAGGCGATGAAACGCGAGACAGAGAGGGGCCGCGGCCGCCGGGGCTCCCGCTTGCCTGAGGCTTAGCCGCGACTTGGCCGCCGGCTGCGGGTGCCCGGGGCAGGGAGGGCTGTGGCGCTGCCCGTCTCCCGCCCCTGGCCGGGACCTTCCCTTCCCCTGGGCGGGTCTCGAGTACTGCTGCGGGTCTGGACGTCGTTAGGGAGTGGGGGTCGCACCCGGAGGTTCCGGAGCCTCTGCCCACTCGGGACCGGCCCACCCTTCCAGTCGGGCAAGCCAGTGAGTTCGGGGCGCCCCGTGGGGTCTTGGATCTCCCGCCGGTGCTGGGACTGCCCCGCCGGTGTGGGGAGGCCAGATGAGGGACCCCGCTCTTGGGGGGGTCGTGGCCCACGAGCCCCGGGGGAGGCCGGCCCCACCGCCGCGTGTCTGCTGAAGGGGTAGAGGTAACGGGCAGCGGGAGCACCCCCGGGGCTGCCCTCCGCAGCGCCCCTTGGCCCCCGCTGCCCTCCGAGCCCCGGGCTGAGGAAATCTCAGCAGGCCCTTTGTCTCCAGCTCCCTCACCGCCCGGGCCAGCTCCTGGCCTCACACATGCTCCTGCTCGAGCTGCTGTGCTGCCCCCTCCTCCTTTTCCCTCCCCTCCTCCCTCCTGTGTACACACTTACTCCCCTGCAGACACACAGCCCATTGTCTCCCTGCTGCCCTTCCTCAGCCCTCTGGTTTCCAGATGAGGCCAGCTGAGGCCTCCCCCCACCCCCAGTTGACCCACCCTGACTGCCTGGGGGAAGAAGGGGGGCTGTCAGGCCCAGTTCCTTCAACTCCTCTGCCCCTCCCCCTCCCGGAAATCCCCTCTTCCTTCCCCCACCCCCATCCTGTCTTCTCCCCTGGGCCAGGGCCTCCACTGCACAGCCTGGAGCTGTCTCTGCCCCTGCCTCCCACCCCCCTTCTCTCGGCAGCCTGAGCCTGCTGCTGAGGCCCTGGGAGGGTAGAGTTGATGGGACAGGCCCTGCCCCTTACCACCACCCTCTACCCTGAGAGCCGCATCCATACCTCTGGTGGAACCTTTGTCCTGGCTGGGCCCCAAGCTGCCCAGACTAATCTGCCTGCAGCCTGGGGACTGGCTTCGGCGCCCCCCCCCACTCCAAAGCCAAAGTCAGCGCATTCCTGAAGCTGCCACGCAGACCCCTCCTCCTTCTTGGCCCACCCCTCTTTCCTCACTGCTGGCTAGGGCCATTATTCAGGTTGGTCCAGGAAGACTGGTTGCCCTGTGGGCATGGACACACCTCTTCAGTGCCTGGGCATGTATTCTTGGTCTTGGCAGCATGGCCCATGGTACTGGAGGGTCAAGGGGAAGATATAAGTATCCTTTGGATACTTGAGGCATGAACTCTCTGGGCCCTGCACAGGGCCATCCTGGACAGGGCTGCTGTGTGGCATCGGCTTGTGCCTTGCTTCCTGCCTGCCTCCCACCCACCTGACTCAGATCCGACAGAAATGCTATGCCTTAGGGCTTTCAGGCCTGCTTAGTGAGCCCTTCCCCTGCGGAGGCCATGCCAAGCATGTGTGACTGGTCTTGCTGGGGTCAGCAAGGCCGTGTTGGTGTAAGGGGGCATGCCAGCCTTTTCCTTGAGTGTAGCATCCTGGTGGGGATTGTTGGAGACGGAGGGTAGACTGCAAGTTCAGCAGGCTCTGGGTGCCTGCCAGGTAGTGGCCAGAGCCCTGGCTGTTTGTTGGACAGTTTTCCTTGCCCCAACCTCTTCTGTGCGCCGTGCAGTATCGCAAAAGGTACCTGTACCTGTGGAATTCGAGGTATCCAGATGTTGCTTCACTTGTGTGCACAGTTCTCTCATCTGCAAAATGGGGGCAATCAGCCTCTTTCTGGTGGCAGTGGAGAGGACCAAATGGGAGTGTAAGCACTGCTTCCTAGCAAGCCTTCTCTTAGGAGACACGCCCTCTTAGGGGATGGGATGGGATGCAGTGACATGGCCCCAAACTGACCTCTGCCCTGGGTTTTTGATTTGGCATCTTCATGGGGATTGGGCAGCCCTGGTGGTTAATCTCAGCCCTCCCTGCTTAGCCTACCCACTAGTTTTCAGCCAGTGAAAAACCAACCAGGGGGAGGGGTTGTGGTGAGCCTATTCCTCTTCCAGTCCAGCTGCCCTCCTAGGGGGAGGGGTGCAGCTGCCACCTGTTGGCCAAATGCTGTCTGAGGCAGTTGTTGCTGTCCCACTGGGCTCACAACCCTCCTCTCAGGAGAGCTGGGACCTGGGGTCCTGTGCCTCTGCTTGCCTGCCCAGCTGGGGCTGGTTGGGAAATGCTCTGGTGAGGAATTGGAGGCTGCCCTGGCTGAGGGGCAGGGCCTGAAGTTCTTCCTGCTGGGAGAGTGGAGCCTTGACCAGTTCATTCCCTCCCCCTTCACAGTGAAGGAGTCTTCAAATGCCCTGAGGACCAACTTCCTCTGGACTATGCCAAGGTGAGTCTGCAGTGCCAGGCACAGAGGTCCAGGTATAGGTTGTTGCCCTTCATGGAGGCTGGAGCTGTTGGCAGCCACTGGGCTCAGGGCCAGTGTCAACACAGTGTGGTGGAATCATGTGCCCCCACAAAGGTGGCCTGTTCCCTCCCACCAGGCCAGTTTGCAAATTAGGCCTGTGTTTGCCCTGGAGGACAGGCACAATGCCCAGCCTGTGGGGGTGCACAGAGCTGCTCTGTGCCCTTAAGAAGTGTTCCTCTCCCCTTGGGGTGGGCAACCAGACGTATGGCTGAGGGCCAGAGTCCCTCTGCCAGGGGGGAGGAAGCAGAGGTGTGGGGCCACTGGGAATGAGCCGTTTGGCTGGCTTCCACTTAAGAGGCACACGATGGACCCTGAGTCCAGTGCTGGAGCAGATACCACCTGTGCAGAGACTGCTACTGGGTCTAAGGCCGAGCCAGCCTACCTGGGACTTGGAGGGTTGAGGGGAGCCGTAGCACAGGTTCTGACTAGCTTCCGCCTTATCCCAGATCTATCCAGACCCAGAACTGGAGGTTCTGGTGTTGAGCCTGTCCATTCGCTGCATCCACAGTGAGGAGGGCTGCCGCTGGAGTGGGGCGCTGCGCCACCTACAGGTGAGACTCGTGGGGGCGGGCACTACCCCTCCCTGCAGGGACTAAAGGCAGCCTTTCCCCCAGGGCCACCTGAACACGTGCAGCTTCAATGTCGTCCCCTGCCCCAATCGCTGCCCTGCCAAGCTGAGCCGCAGGGACCTCCCTGCGCACTTGCAGCACGACTGTCCCAAGCGGCGTCTCAAGTGCGAGTTCTGTGGCTGTGACTTCAGTGGGGAGGCCTTTGAGGTGAGTGGGGCCTGACTGAGGGTGGAGGGAGAGTGGGACGGTGGTGACCCAGGGCGTCCTTACCTAGGCTCCTCTGGCATTTTCAGAGCCACGAGGGCGTATGCCCCCAAGAGAGTGTGTACTGTGAGAACAAGTGTGGTGCCCGCATGATGCGCCGGCTGCTGGCCCAGCATGCCACCTCCGAGTGCCCCAAGCGCACCCAGCCCTGTACCTACTGCACCAAGGAGTTCGTTTTTGACACCATCCAGGTGAGGCTCTTCCTCAGCTGTGACTGGGGGGCAGGTAGCAGGGAGTCGGGCCACTGACTGCTTTCTGCCTCTCTTTTGGCCCTAGAGCCACCAGTACCAGTGCCCCAGGCTGCCTGTGCCCTGCCCCAACCAGTGTGGTGTGGGCACTGTGGCTCGGGAGGACCTGCCAGGCCATCTGAAGGACAGCTGTAGCACTGCCCTGGTGCTGTGTCCATTCAAAGACTCCGGCTGCAAGCACAGGGTGAGATGCCCCTCCTCCTTTCTGTCAGCCCCCTGGTCCTTGAAGCCTCAGGTGTAGACTAGGCCTTTGGTGGTCCCTGGTATGCTGTTTTGAAGCCTTCAGTCCCCCTGCTGCCCACCTCCGCCTCTTTACTAGTGCCCGGTCTTCCTCAGTGAGAGCCAAGTGCCTGCCAGCCTGTACCCACTCCTCCCCTTTCTCCTGGGCCTGCCTCTACTGATAAACTCTCCTCCTTCCCCCATGGCCTGGGCCTTTGCCAACAGTGCCCTAAGCTGGCAATGGCACGACATGTGGAGGAGAGTGTGAAGCCCCACCTGGCCATGATGTGTGCTCTGGTGAGCCGGCAGCGGCAGGAGCTGCAGGAGCTGCGGAGAGAGCTGGAAGAACTGTCGGTGGGCAGTGATGGCGTGCTCATCTGGAAGATTGGCAGCTATGGCCGGCGGCTACAAGAGGCCAAAGCCAAGCCCAACCTTGAGTGCTTCAGCCCAGCCTTCTACACACACAAGTATGGCTACAAGCTGCAGGTGTCCGCATTCCTCAATGGCAACGGCAGTGGTGAGGGCACACACCTGTCTCTCTACATCCGCGTGCTGCCGGGTGCCTTTGACAATCTCCTTGAATGGCCCTTTGCTCGTCGTGTCACTTTCTCCCTGCTGGATCAGAGCGACCCTGGGTTGGCTAAGCCACAACACGTCACAGAGACCTTTCACCCTGACCCAAACTGGAAGAATTTCCAAAAACCAGGCACTTGGCGGGGCTCCCTGGATGAGAGTTCTCTGGGCTTTGGTTACCCCAAGTTCATCTCCCACCAGGACATCCGCAAGCGAAACTACGTGCGGGATGATGCAGTCTTCATCCGTGCCTCTGTTGAACTGCCCCGGAAAATCCTCAGCTGAGGGCAGACACGGCTCCAGGAGAAAGGGTGGGGTGGGACATGACCTCAGTCAGGCACTGGCTGAACCTGGAGAGGGGGCCGGACCCCCTTTCAGCTGCTTGTGCTGTCTAGGTTCTGTTAACCCTGTTTCTCCTTCCCACTCCACCTCCTGCCACCCTCAGGTGCCTCCTATCGGTGCTTCAATCCTGACTCCTGGCGGGGGAGCAGGCCCTGGGGTCATCAAGGGCTTGGAAACAAGTGACCCCAGGGTCTGTCTCCTCTTCTGAGCAGGGCAGACATGCCTTGGTGCCGGCCACTCTACCCAGGACTGAGGTGCCTGCTGGTGCTATGTCCCAAGAGCCATAGGGGGTGGGGGGATTTGGGAAAGTGAGGGGTAGATAAAGAATCTGTTTGGAGATCTGATTTCTCTTCCCCTCTCCCCAGTGTGCCCCCTCTGGTTATTTATTTACTTAGTGCCAGGAGGGCACAGCAGGGGAGCCCTGATTTTTAATAAATCCTGAATTGTATTTATTAACTTGGTGCCAGCCTGACTCTTCTGGATTGGAAAGCAGGGCCCAACTGTGAGGGCAGAGGCCCAGACTTGTCTGCTACCACTTGGAACCCAGGACCAGCTGACTTAAGCTGGATCATCCCAGACAGAACCACATCAGGCTTTGTGTGGAACAGGTGCCCGGTGGTGCCCTCTGGTGGCTATATAAGAGTGGTGCAGGGGCTGGGCACCTAACTTCCTGTGTTTGGAAACCGGCCAGATTAGTGCTTCTGCCCTAGACAGTTCTGGGTTTAATGAGAATAGGGATCACTTACTGAATACTTCCATGTGGCAGATACTGCTAAGCACATATGCATTATTTCATTTAATACAGCACATTTCACTTGACAAAAGGCCCATCTTAAAGATTTAAAGAGACAATGCATGTTCCTGGTACAAAATAAATACTTGATGAATGTTTCTCTGACTCCAAAGCCCAGCCCACACCCAGGACCAAAATGAGCATAAGGGCCTTTAAGGTATGGAAGACACTTGGGTTTCCATAACAGACCTCAGTGAGTGCCTTGTCCATGCACCAGTGAAACAGGGACAGAATGAAGAGCTTTCTTAGTGATCTTTAAAATGGTTTGGGTATGGGTTGCACTGTCACTAAACAACCCCTACAGCATCTTTTAATTGGCAGATGAGGGTTTGGATCCTTGCTGTGCTTGCCCTTTTGGGGGGGGTCAAGTTTCTAAGTTTGGGGGCACTGTTACTCTTAAATCAGTAAAATGTGTGATCCTACTCACTTCCTGCCTTTAAAAATTAATAAGCATGAGTGTTACAAACTGGCCCTGAGAAGAGGCAGGAGGCTAAAGGCATGAGAACTAAACCTTGTAAGAAGGCTCTAGGGCTGTGGTTCTTGCTGTATCCACTCTGCCTCACGCAAGTGTGATGGTTGATAGGGAAGGACTGACCCTGGGATGAAACGCTGGGAAGTCACCCTCTAGCCCCCCAAATATGCAAGTCACTATTCTAAGGGTAGATGGGGCCCTGGTTGCCTTGCTAAGTAATGACAGCACCCTTTACCAGAAACATCTTGGCACATTAAGACCAGAGAACTAAGGGCTCTCACAGAGGCACCTTCACTTAACACTCTTTCCTCACATGTCAGCCAATAGAAGGGTCCAGCTCATGCCCCTCCATTGCCAGGGACTATGTCACTGCACACACATTTCCAGAAGATTCACTAGTGCCTCCTAGAGTCGCAGGCTACAGGGCCCTCATATCCAGGTTGACCTCATATCCAGACCTTGTCTTCATTCCAGTGCCTTTGCAAATGATTGCTTTGTGGGACAGGCCAGGTTTTGTATCAAAGGGAGAGAGAGATTTCCCAAGCATCCACCCCGGGATGGGCATACTTTACTGTGCCGACATAGCTGGGTTCACATGCATTCTAACTTTAAGCTGATTGCAGGTCTCATCTGACACTGGCAGGAGGGTCTTCCCCAGGGGCGGCAATAGGCAGAGCACCTTCATAAAGTGTCCCTCTTCCCCTCAGAAAAGGGCATGCTTGGGAGAGAAGACAGCTCTCCACTACAGCTCTGAGAGCCATTTGCTGATTCTTGCTAAGGGTCTGATTCCACCCTCAACTGAATCCTGCATCGTCTTTCTCTCCACTCCATCTTCAACCCAACCCAAAGTCAACCGAAAGGGAGGGGACAAACAAACAGGATCTTGTCATTTGCCTCCCTGCAGACAAAAAGAGGAAAGTTCTCGACTACACGAGATTCAGATTGCCAAGAGGGCTGGTTTTCATGTTAATAGCACCTATTACCTTCACCGCTGACAGCAGTCTTCATAAACTCCAAGTATTAATCAGTGACGGTAAAAAGGGTACTTTAATTTTGTTAGGAACCCATTCCTCAGTGGTGGTCCACTTTGGGCTTTCAGTGAAAAGCAGCAGCCATACTTACCCACCAAATCCCAAGCTTGGAGCAGCTCCAGGGCTCCAAGTTGGGCTGCCCACAGGGACTGATGAACTATCATCAGTCATCAGAACTTCATGCTCTGCAATCACAACAGCAGCTTGTCTAGAGTAACAAACGGCTGGGGCTTCTGAACGGAATATAGTGGGGTCTTTTTCATTAAAATGAGCAATTACTTTCCTTCTAGTGAGACCTGTTAGAAACCATTCAAAGAGAAACTGCCTCAGACATCAGAGCATTAAACAAATAGGACAAGGTCAAAAGGTGTTTTTTTTTTAACTGGTTTATAATAATCTTAAAAACCCCATCACACCCATAAACCACCACAGGTGAGAAGGTGAGGGAGATGGAGAATGCTACAGTATGTGGACAGTGTGGGGAATCCAGGTATTCCCTAGGGGCAGTGTGGGATGGAGACAGGGAGTGTGGACAGGAGGCCCTGACTTGGACCTTTATTGCTGGTTGGGGGTTGTCTGGCAGAGTGGGAGAGGGGTTCAGGGTGAACAAGGAAACATCTCACACGGAGGTGAGGGGAACTAGGGATTAAGGAAAGGAGGGGGATCACAGTACATTTTCCATGCAGACTAGGGGTAGGAGTGAGAGCTTCAGAGACTTGCACCCCTACACAGGAAGAGATGGGTTTGAGGTTGTTTGATTTAAAGCCCCCAAGTTGGTGTCTGGTCCAATTTCTTAAAATGGTAGCTCACCTTTTGGGGAGAGGCAATGGAAAAAATAATCTGGTTTGGAGATCAAGCAAAGGATGGGGGAGACAGTGGTCCTCTTAAATTTAACTCAGAGAAGAACTGGGAGGAGGCCTGGGTGAGCTGGTGACCAACACCTTGGGAGAAGGCATTACACCAGAGGCTGCAGGTGCTCCTGAGGGCTCCAGGACAGGGGGGTACCAGTGTTCACAGGAAAACAATCAGAACAATAAATTAGGACTTCATGTTGCTATCATTTGGCATAACACAATCAGGCATTTTTTTTCTTTTTTCTCTTTAAATATAAGGCAACTGCCAACACATAATTTAAAAACTGGTCTTCAGTCACATTGCTTCAGATGACTAGAGAATTTCTGGCTAAAGAACAGTGGATAGTATAGTAAACAAAACCCAAAAGTTTAAATAAGAACATCAGCTCACATTCCCCAGAGAACAAGAGGAAAGGTAAGGGCTTTTTGGTTCAGAAGGGGGGAAAAAATTAAAAAAGAGCCCGACTATGCATCTTTAACAGAAGATGGGTGTAAAAAATTACAACATAATCTAGATTTAAAATTACAGAAAGGTTTTACATTTCTAGCCAACTAATTACTAGTGAAGGAGACACACTGAGCACGGAGGGGATGGGCGTCTGTGCAAAGGGACAGGGGAGGCTGTTGCCAGTGGCGGCCACCTCCGACTTCTAGATCCATGCTCATTTGGTAAAGGAAGAATTCATAGAGCTTAAGGCTTTGTGTTTTTTTTCTTCTTCTTCATTAAACTGAGGGGCTGTGAAAAGGTGACTAGGGGTGAATGCACCTGTGGGGCCACACACGCACAGTGCTACTCACACACACTACATTCATACAGAAACATGACATTTAAAACTTACAGTGTAGAGCAATATTCTTAGCCAGTGTAGAGAGAACCAAATGTATTTTTTTCTTTTTTTTTCTTTTTTTTGGTGTTTTTAATTCCAAACTCCAATGTGATCATCCCTTACCTACCTAATTGCTCAAGTAAGAGCTTTTTTTATTTTTTCTTTTTTTTAAGGAGGGATGAGGGCAGCAGATGAGTTAGGAAAGAGGCAACAGTCAGAAAGAGATCTTGGGTATACTAGGTGGTCACTGCACTTCTCTACGTCTGGAAAGGGGACTTAGAAACCAAGATACCAATACAAAGACAGATTCCTCCCCCGTCCCAAGGCTATGGTCAAGTGCCTGCAGATGCCCTTAAGGACCGTGGCAAGGACAAGTGCAGTGGCTCTGGGATCAATGTAGATATAAAACAAAGCCTTGAGGAATGGCGAGGAGATGAAGACTGGGCCACTTCTGACTGGAGGTCTTTGGGTAAATAAGGAATTCATTTCCAGAGCACTTAGAAAGTCTGGCTTTTTAGTCCCAAAGCTAGACACACACAGGCAGAGGCCTAACTGCGGGGATGGGCACCTACAGCTACCTCACCTAGGGCTTTTCTTCAGCCCACACCTTAGTCCTAAGGGAAACGGGCAGAGATGCAAGACAGACGGTGGCTGCTGAAAAGTGGTCAAGGCCGAGGGACTGACAGATAAGCAGGCAGCAGAAAGAAAAGCCTGACACTGGGGCGAGGTCCTAACATAAACCCCAATGTTGCTGGGGCTGGTGGAGGGGGAACTGAGGGCACAGAGGACATCCTTCTGTCTTCAATTAGATCCCACCAAATCCCTTTCTTAGACATCTAAGAATGATCACATTGGAGCAGTGAAACTCTGAATCAAAACTATCCAATTCCTCAAAGTAAGACTAAACCTAGGAGGGTGATGAATGATGTAGCTTGTGGAGGGCAACACCAGAGCTACCTATCTATACCCAGGGTGCTGAATATGAAGACTTCGACTATCTGTGGGATCAGGGGCTCGATTGCCAGGGGCTCGATGGGCCTTGCTCAGCATGGCCAGGCTCTGTTCACGGAAGCAGGCCTGCTGGAAATCCCCACTCAAGTAATCCACTGTTTGCATCAAGCTGTTTTGGCTTGCCACTGGACCGCCCCCGGTCCCTGCTCGGTAGTGGGCCCCAGCAGCTGCCGCACAGTCGAGGGGTGCACCTGTGGACTGCCCTCCGTGGAACGGCATGGCGAGGTCCTGAGACCCCGAGCTGTCGCTATTGGGAGTGGGCAGAATGTTGTTCCAGAGGGGCTGGAAGTAGTGACCATTGGGATAAGCCAGTGGGGCTGCCAAGCCGTTGACTGGTGGGGATGGGGTTGGTTTCTCCAGGGGTGGTTTCAGATGGAAGGACTGTGCCAGGCAGAGTTCCTGCGGGTAGGCAGGGGCCTTGCCCACAAAGCCAGGCCCTGCCAACTCGCGTCCCACCGCATGCTTGCCTGTCAGGCCAGGGGCCGGCGTCCCACCAGCCTCACTGCACATCTGTTGTAGGTGGGCCAGCTGGTGCTGGTTCCAGGCGACTGGTTTGAGGTCGCTAGGGTAGCCAGTGGGGGCTCGAGAGATGCCTGTGGGCAGGTTGACAGGACCTGCAGCAGGCAATGCGGCTGTGGCCGCATGGGTGTGCTCCATGGGATTGACCACACAAGAAGGCATTGGTGTGGGGACGCTGTGGGTCGACACCCGGGTGCTTGCATTGATGAGCAGACTGCGACTAATGGGGCTGGGGTTGGCGATCTGGCCCTCACACACTGAGGTAGTGCTGATGCCTGCCCTCGTCTGGCAAAACTGGTTGATCTGGTGCACGATGCTGCTCAGGTCCGGGGGCTGGCTGTGCTGCAGGGTGGCCGCCATTGAAAGGGGGATAGTTGAGGTAGA